TTTTTAAAGTGGTTGAAAGCCCTCAACCTATGATGACAACCCTTGATCAACTATTTGTTTCTAAACAACCAATTAAAGAAGTACAAATCCCCCCACTATTTGTTTTTCTCTTACCTCACCTATTGTAAGTTGCGGTTGCAAGTTAGTAGATCAGGAAGTAAGTCTAAATCAAAAACAAAATCAAAACCAAAATCACTTTTTGCCCAATGGACTAGATGCTATTGTTCCTTGCAGTCCAAGGGAGTGGGAGGTCTTAGGAAAGTCAACTGAGGAGATTGGGGAGAGGAAAGACTAGGGGAAAGCATTGTAGAGGTTGATGTTGGATTATTTGAAGTAAGGGGCAAGAAATGAAGGGCATTTAGAAAAGGTGGTAAGTGAGGGTGAGGGCGGTTAGAAGATCTAAGAGAGGCTTCTGTAGTGCAAAAAAGATGGAAGGGTGAGGAGATGGTGGGGAACATCACTAATGGAGTGGAGGTCTTTCGAAGGCTTTGGGAATTCAACTAGCAAAGCAGAAGGGGGACGCAAAGGTGTGAAAGTCACAAAAGAGAAGGTCCAAACTGGTAATACTTACTTCATCTTGAATTAAAATTGAGAAGACTTCACATAAAAGAGGGAAATCGGGAATACAGATTGGTGGGGAACAAGGGCTGTTGGAGGGTCAACGAAGATGAACAATTGGAACATGAGAGGTCTAGGGAGTGCAAGGAAGAGGAGAGTGGTGAAGGACTTCTTAAAGAGAATTAAACCACCCATGATACTTTTGCAAGAAACTAAAATTGATTTGGTCACTAATGTTTGGATGACAAGCATTTGGGTAGGAATAGCTTGGGAGGAAAATCAAGTGGAATGTTTGGAAGTGGTGGTGGGGTGTAATATATTTGCAATGAAATTTAAGGACAATGAAAAGGATTTTGTGTGGTGGTTGACCAATGTTTATGGAGCAATTTCTTATAGGGATAGGGAGAACTTGAGGGTGGGTTGTATAATATTAGTAGTTATGAAGGGGATTGTAAAATTTTGTTCCGAAGAGAATGTTAGATCATCAAAAACCACGAAAAGCATGAGAAATTTTAATGAGTTCGTTGGTGACTGTATGTTAAGGGATTTACCTTTGCAAAATGCACAATTTGCATGCTCTAACCTAGTGGGAAGATCTATTTGGAGCAGTTGTGGTTAAAGCTTTGGCTAGACCTACTTCAGATAACTGGTCCTTGCTTTTGGAATCAAAAAAGTTGAACTTTCATCCAATCCCTTTTAGATTCAAAAACATGTGGCTAACACACCCTAGTATCAAGAAAAATATTGAAACCGGGTGGAATGATTGTAAGGTTGAAGATTGTGCAGCATTTCATTTCTTGCAAAAATTAAAAATGATAAAAGGAAAGTTAAAGATTTGGAAACAATAAAGTATTTGGAAGACTTGGAGGAAATAAAGTAGAGGTTTTGGACCAAATTGAAGCTTTAGACAAAAAAAAAGAAAGGGAAGAGGGGAGGGGAGGGATTTGAGCGAAGAAAAAAGAAACAGAGATTGGAGATGAAAGCTGATTTGGAGTTAACTTTGAGGAGGGAAGAGATTAGCTAGAGACAAAAAATAAGATGCAAGTGGTGAAAAGAGGGGGATGGAAATAGTAAGATTTTTCACTTGTTGGATGATGGGAGGAGGAAAAAAGCTTTTATTTCTTATTTTAAGAGATTGTTTGCAGTACCTTGCCCAACCAGACCAATTGTGGAAGAGCTGGGTTGAGAAAGAATAACTAGGGAGTTGGCTGAGAAATTAGAAGACTCTTTTACTTTGGATTAAGTAAAGAGGGTCGTGATGGGGATGAGTGGGGAAAAATATGACCCAATGAAGGTTTTTCACAAATTTTTCAAGATGGAGAAGGTAGGAAAAGGGATGAATGCAACATTTATTTCCTTAATCCCTAAATCTGCAAGTGCAGTCTCTACTAATGGTTTTCAACCCATTAGTGCCACTACAAGTTTACACAAAGTAGTGGCAAATGTGTTGCCAGTGAGGCTTAAGGAGGTACTTCATTTTGTGGTCTCAAAAGAACAATGAGCTTTTGTGCAAAACAGACAGATTTTAGACCAAGCCCTGGGCGCTAATGAAGCTTTGGAAGATTTTACGAAGTCGGGGAAAAGTGGCTTTGTGCTTAAATTGGATTAGGAGAAGACCTATGACCACATGGACTAGGGCTACCTACAATGGGTGATGGGGAAGATGGGATTTGAGCTGGAGGTACCTAAAATGCCTACTGACTCAGATATCTTAAAGAGTAGAGCATTTCAATTTCCAAGCAGATGTGCTAATTTCTTGTCCATTTTCCCAATGTGGTTCTACTTTTACAAGCTGTTTAAAAGTGAATATATGGTCAATTTCAGATCAGTCTGAAATCTTTGGGTGCTGTCCAAGAATTCAGGGTGATACTAAGGTCAAATTGATGTGGAGCTGCATTCCATTTTCTGTGTGTTGGGAAGTATGGAAGGAAAGAAATAGAAGAATATTTGAGAATAAGAAGAAAAGAATGGTAGAGGTGGTGGCATGGATCAGCTCTTCAGTGATTGGTTGGGTGTTGATTATGCCAGAATTTCAAGGAATAAAGAAAGAATACTTCAGGGCAGAATTTAGGTGTTCTATGAATTCTTAAAATCTGGGTTTTTGTTGTATTGTTTGCTTTGAAGTTTGTTATGTTTTTATCTTGGTTCTTTCTTGTTTTGGCAGTGACTTCTTATGATCCTGTCACCATACTTAAGATGTAATCTTTTATTTTAGCAATAGCTTTTTTACTTTATTAATCTTCAAAAAAAAGATGGGATTTGGATAAAGGTGGATCAGATGGTATTGGGTTGTTTGACGACCACACAAGAGGGGTTTGACAAGAAGATTCCCCTTGTTATTCACCTTGGTGTTTGAGATCATTAGTAAGTTGCTGAAAAGAACGGATGAGAGGATTTTTTTTCGAGTGGTTTCTCATTTGCAGTTTGCAAATGACACTTGAATCTTGGGGGAATTAGGTGTTTGGAGGATGTGAGAACTCTTAGGTTAATTTTGGAGTTGGTGGAAACGGTTTAGGGGCTGAAGGTAAATATAGCAAGGTATAATCTGATGGGAATTCAAATTACTAGAGAAAATCTACGGGAATGTGCTTCTATTCTTGGATGTGCAATTCAAGAGTGGCCTTTGAAATACTCAGGGCTTCCCTTTGGGGGGTGGGGGGTGGGACCCAAGGGAGGGGAGCTTTTGGGATGCGATGATAAAGAGATTTAGCTTCTTGGAAAAAGCACTATATCTCAAAAGGGGGTCGGTGACTTTAATCAAATCTACCCTTTCAACCTTCCAACCTATTTATTGTCAGTTTTCAAGAGGTAGCGACCATAAAAATTATCAATTGAAGAGTAAGGACATATTAGGATGGATGTTAGAGAGGGGGACGATTTGGGATTAGGACGGTTGTTAGAGAAGAATAAGGCCTTATTAGGCAAACAGCTGTAGAGATTCCCTAAAAAAAGTGAGGCATTGTGGTGTCTTCTTGTTAAAAGTATTTATGGAGAGCACCCAAATGGCTGGGACAGAGGTCCAGCTACAAGTGTTAATGCAAGAAGACCATGGAAAATGAATCTAACTTTCCAATTTTTTGCAACACATCGATATGATGCAATTTCAGATCAAGAATTAAAGTTCTGGGAAGACTTGTGGTGGGGGTATTTTCACCTTTTGCCTTTCTTTTCCTAGAATTTACAGCCTATCCACTATCAAAAATAAAACAATTGTTGAAATGTCAACCAGGGAAAGGAATGGGCTAGTCTGGGATTTAGGGTTAAGCAGACCTCTTAGAGACCATGAAACCTATGAATTAATTCCTTTACTTGTTCTACTCCAAGATGTCCAGCTTTCCCCTGCAGGGTGTGATGAGAGGGTATGGGCTCCTGAGGTTAAAGGCTCCTACTTTTATGTTTCCTTCCTTAAAACTTCACTTCCCTATGTTGATCCTCAATCCCTTCCTGCTAGAAAGTTGTGGTCCAGACCGTTCCCCTCAAAAGTTAAGATGTTCTGTTGGGAAGCTGCAAACCAAATCGGTAAGACCTCCAAGTGTCTTATGCCTAAAGAGTGGGGAGTCCACCACCCACCTGTTGTTGCACTGCCCTTTTGCACTACAGTTATGGAAGCACTTTCTTTCTATGGTGGGTAAGAATTGGTATGCACCAAGCGAGGTAGTGCACTTGTTCAAGACAGATTTCCTGCGTCTCTCTACTCGGAGACACAAAGTCCTTTGGCAGTGTATGAGAGCTGCTGTTCTGTGGGGGCTGTCGTGTGAAAAGAATGCTAAACTTATTGAGAATCACAAATCAGATGAAGAGGTTATAGAACTCACCTTGATCAGGGTGGCACATTGGGTGCCGGTGCAGATAAGTTTAAGGCAGCATCCATAAATGACTTTTTAAGGGTATGGCAAACAATGGTTGTTTTTCAGATTAGCAAAAAGCAAAGACTACTAGATTGGTCTCCTCCCAAAGCAAGTTTAATCAACTTACATTTTGATGGGTGTTGCCTTGGACAGCCATGACCTTTGGGTGTGGAGGGTGCTATCAGATACCAGAATGGTATTATACTAATATTATACTAAGTTTTACAGGCCCATCAGGAAAGGCTAACTTCTTAAGGGCAGAATTGCTAGCACTAATTCAAGGTCTAAAACTGGTACAGCAGCAGGGGTGGAGAGATGTGATTGTGGAAGAGGATTGTCAAACTGTAATTTGCTGGATGAAAGCACAAGACCATATACCCTGTAGGGGTACAAAAGAAATGGATCCGATCCGAATTTGAATCTGATCCTAGTTTGTTTATATTGCATGTTTATAATTTTACCTACCAGGAAGAGTGGTACATCCCTAAAATATATAAAAAACGGTTCTCAAATTATACTAATGTAAAAAGAAAACAAGAGAAAGAGAGAGAACAACTAGCCAAAGAAAAAAAAAACACCATTGCAAGAACTTACCTGTCTCTCATTTACATAGACACTTACAAACTCTCCAATTTTGCCAGATCTCCTCAACTTTCTCAGGGCATTAGCAAATTGCTGCAAGAAGACAATAAGAAACCTTAACTGGAAGCCGAACCTGCAGAACAAGACAGCAATCACCTCTATAGGGCATTATATACCTTTGGCTGCCTATGCTTTCCAAGAATAAGCCCATTAAAAATAACTAGATACGAATTTGGTGTATGAATCTCCTCTGCAGATAGCAGTTCCAAGTCTTCAACACCCAGGCTGTGACACTGATGCAGGAAAAATAAACATCATAGTAAATAAAGAGTACATGCAACCATATGAAATCACAGCCACAAATTACATGACCATATCAAAAGGAAAATTCAAATTAACCATAAAAAATATACAAACATGCAATATGTCAAGCAACTATGCTCCTTATTTTTCAAATTCATACAAATAACTAAGATAAGTTCATTGATATAAAGTCATTTAAGAGAGTTCACTGTGTAAAACAAACCTCTAGCATAACTTCACAAAGTGCTATGTCTATGGTGTCACTTGAGAGCTATTATTGGAGATCTTTAATGGCTACAATAGAGAAAATGTGGGACCCTGAGGCATAGGAGGCGCATTTAGAGAAACATTGATCATTCTGGCAATATGTTCTGGACCAGTAGGTCATGGGGACTCAGCTGCTGGTGGAGGACTGTGAATTGGAAGAGTAATTAGCTGCAGGAATATAGTAGGAGACTAAGGTGGTGAAGGTCTGGCTACAGTACAACAAACAAGGACTATGGCAACATAAAGCTATCATGAAAGTAATCATATTATTGGCAGGGAACTTCAAACAACTTTCTCCTAGATTCAAAAATCTGCAAATAGCTTGGTGTATATAATGGCCAAGGAAGGAAGGGGTATACAACGATCAATTGGTTTTGGATCAACTTCAATGTTATCAGTATGGAAGTGGGCTGGATAGCTACTCGCTAGCCTGAAGATGGAGGATATCTAGCATATTGTACATAACTCAATTCTTTTTCTCAATTAAAATATTATGATAAATTAGTTATCAATTGAATCCCAAGAGTTTTATTGTGAAGAAAATCCTATCATAAAATAACAAGGCCACCTTCATAAAAAAGCACATGTGTGTCTGCACTTTATCAAAACGATAAAGAAGGAATATGTACAGTTTTGCCTACATATTATAAACAACACAAGAAAAATCTTATGTACATTCTTTTCTTGCGTTTTTTATAGGTAACATATGCTTTAGTGATTCAAAGGGAAAGTATTTTAGATATATGGACCAGCGACAAAGTCACTTCAATAAAGAATTTACAGAAAATATTAAAATGATATATACTTAGTATTACTAAGAAATCCTCTCACTCTCTTAAAACCACAAATTATCCAGCTAAGGTAAATTAAATTTATCTAGGGATTGGTCTGTTCAAACAAGGGGCCATAACTTGGTCTAATGGTAAAATCTCAGGCTGGCAAGCATGAGAACACAGGTTCAAGTCTGAGGGTACGCCGATTGAGGTGCATCGGACCGAATTGAGGCTCGCATCTGGTACGCTGATTGGGGTGCATCGGACCGAATTGAGGCTCGTTTCTTTTTTTTCTTTTTAGTTTTTTTTTCAACTTGGTTCAGAAGAGTCGGTTTAAGGCCTGTCTACCCCTGAACCAGGTCACAACTCACTTTGACCCTGACTGGCCCTAACCCACCCATTTGACCCTCTGATTCAAAACAGACCTTTCTTTTCTTTTTAATTCTAACTGCGTAAAAACAGAGACCCATATATTTCAACGCAAAAACATAAAGATTTCAATTTTTTCAAATAAAAAATAAAAAACATTAAAACACAAAAATGGTAAAAAATATACATTTTGTGTAAAACATCAGAAATTGCAAAAAAAGAAAAGAAACAATAAAAATTTTAAATAAACTGTAAAAGAGGAATTTAAAAAACGTAGAAAATAGCAAAAAATTATTAAAAAAATACAAGAATATGCAGGAAATTCAAAATGCAAAAAAAAAACAAATACAAAAAATTAAAGAAAATGGTAATTGCATAAAAACAAGAAAAATATAGATATTGTAGAAAATAATTTAAATGATAAAAATTGCAGAAAACACATAAAATTATAAAACAAAACATATATACTTCAGCCAAAAATAAAAAAAAATGCATAAACATAAAAATAAAAAAATTCAAAAATTATATATTTCAGCTAATGCCAAGAAATACAGAAAATGATAAAAATTATATATATAACAAAAAAAGTCAAAATCGTAGAAATACACTAAATGATAAAAATAAATAAAACACAAAGTAATAAAAATTTTCAAAAAATATATTTCATCCATAATGTATTTAGAAATGATACTTTCTCATCTTCTTTTTTGAGGGTGGATTTTTTTAGTGGGTTTGTCTTGTACAGTTTCTTTTTGTACAAAGGACCTTGATCAGTGATTAATTCAATGTACTATACTTTGCCTTTTTCAAATAGATATATATATATATATAAATATATGATCCAAAAATAAGGATATGGAAAATTTTGGGGAAAATGTTTAAATACAGAAATTAACAGAACATAATAGAAAATGAAAAAATTACAAACAAAAGAAAAAAACGGAAATTTTTGCACAAAAGATTATAGAAAAATGTAGAAAATCCAAAATTGAGAGGAGGGCATTCTTCGACTGTGTAAGTCAAAAATACATTGTTGTAAGGCCTTCGTTTACTAAGAATGTAAAAAAAAATGGAGCATCAAGATGATGATGTTTCAGTTCTTGCTCCACCTCCACTCCAATGTAAAGAACCATGTGTCAGAGGACAACAGCAACGACGATATAATAGTTGTAGGTCGGGAAATTAGGTGCTTCAATCCATTCTCAAAACCACCAACACTTATCAAAAGCGGCGGAGGAAGCAATTTGGAGTTCTTGTTAGATCCAATAGCAATAGTTGGAGATCTACAACTTGATTAGCTATCTAATGGGACCTCTCCGGCAACAACGGCTGAGAATTTGATTTTCAACTTGGAGAACTACAACTTGTTAGCAGTAGTAGACAGTGACGGAGTGACGGCCGTTGCGAACTTGATCTGCAACTTGGTTTAGAACTCGTTAGTGGCAATCAACAGCAATGGCCAACACGGACATGAATGCATGGTCAATGGCAGAGAAGAGGTGGAGACGGAAAGATGAAGAGATGGAGGCAGAGAGGTGGAGAGGTTGAGGTAGAGGGTTACTCGATTCTCTCATTTTCAAACCCTAACCTAACCCTTGGGTACCCATGACCCAACCCTGTTTACTTGACCCAATGGGTGATTTGACCCATATTGACCCACTACTCAAATGGGTGGGTATGGATGGGTTTTAAGCAGGTGGGTCAGATGGGTTAGGGTCAAAATTTCCAGACCTAGAAAAGACGAGAGATCCATTACTCCAGAAAACAGGCATATAGGGTGATTCCGTTGAATATATATAAGTGTAACTTGAGCTGGTTTTCATAAATCTTATCCTTATTCAATGTAAGAAATCTTTAGCAATAACACAAACCCAACCAAAGCCTTGATCTAAACTACCTAACCAAAAACTGAACCTGATCAAAATGACCTTCAAGGTCTTTCCTCCAGGTCTACCAAAAGCAAAGGAAGAAAGACAAGCTATATAATGTCTTACAATTATTCAATTGACACATCCATATAAATACAGAAACAAATATCAGAATTTGCAATATAACATGGAGCTTTCATCCGGAAGGTTTAATAACAGATTATTGGTTCGACTGGAAGATATATGAAAGGAAAATAACAAACCAGAGAAATCAATGGACCCTCCTCATCATCAGTTGTGACATGAGTCATCAGAGCCAAGTTTTTCACCAACCCACAAGCTTCACCTTCAGGAGTGTCACAGGGGCAAAGCATACCCCACTTAACCAATAGAAAATAAATGTAATAACAGAAACTAATCAGAGTCGAAGTAACAAAAGTGCTACCACCTACAAAATACCTGTAACTTACATACTATGTTGTAGCAAAGAGAACCATCCATACCTGGCTAGGTTGCAATGCCCTAGGTCCACTTACTTTCCTAGACTTCTCAAATTGTGGCGAGATTTTGGTCATGTGGCCTAAAGTTGCAATAAATGAAAGCCTAGCAAGCACCTACAAAATAATGATTCCAGCTTGCTTGTTCATGAACAGAAAACCTTATAGTAAATAAAAAAAAGAGTGGAGGAAAAACAAAAAAAAAAAAACCTGTGTCATTCCCTTCCTATGCATTCTGAATCGTTTGAGATCCCAATTTCCGGTAGAAATTGCCCTTTCTAAGCCATAGGTAATGCTATCTTTCACAATATACTACCAAAACCAACAAAAAGGGGGAAAAGCAAAAAATAAAAAGCACCAGAGTATCAAATTAATTATAGATCAGTCTCCACAATTATAAAAAGAATGTAAATACCAAATGTATATCCTACCAGTCTAAAATTCCTGAAATAGGCAAAGCAAAAATTATTTCCTCGAAATTAATACAGAATCATGTAGGTCTGTCAGATAATCCAAACAGTTGGTATATATTAAACATGCATATAAGCTACGTCATAGCAAGCAAATTGAAAGAATTCTTCCAAATTTTGGTCTTAAACATGGTTTAAAATGTCCCTAATGTCACTAATAATTCCATGACATATTTCCATTTCCATAGGTAGCAACACGAAATTTTACCAGAATCAACATATTCTTTTCTCTATAACCTTAGTTTCTATTACAACCATTTACATTTTCTACGAGTTTGAATTTTTTCCTTCATTCATTTTATCATGAAGCTCTGAATCATAAGGTTTACAGGGCAACTTCAGAACATATTCTTTTGTCTATAACCTCAGTTTCTTAGCTTTGATTAATGATTTGGAATAAGATAATAATTTAAAAAGGTGTGCCTATGCTTCTTTTATCATTTCATAAAATACCATTCTATATTTTGCATAATTCACAATGTCTCCACTATATCCATAATTTTTACAATATTTCAACATGATATTTTCGACATTTCCGACATGTTTCTTATATTTGGATGACCAACACTTCCACCGACAATGACATTTCAATCCTTGGTCTTAAATGAATAATGTGATAAATTCTAAAAGCCATCTATCTCTTTTCAATTGAGATTTACTGCTTATATAAATAGCAATAATAAAAGTATATCCTTATTTACCACAATAAATAAGGTTGTAGCCCAATATCGGAAAGGGACAAACGAAAATCACCGACCCACTAACAAATTCCATGATTTTACTATCTATTTTTTTCTCAATCTTCCACAAATCTCCTTTGATTTTCCAGAAGCCTAGGCAAAAGCAACGCTCGTGAAAACTAGATCTTGGAAGGCACAACAGTCGAGGGGGGTCAGACAGAAGTTCAAGTCACATAACAGTCAAGGAAAAATGTAAGACAACAGTTCAAATCAAAGTATAGGAAACAAGATCAGTAATAAATATCGGGGTGTTTGACAAAATGGTTAGTTTGTTTTTGAAAAAACAAAATCAATTGCCACATCAGCAAAAATAATATAATTTTGCTGATGAAGCAGGTGTTTTGTCTTCAAAAACAAACCATGTTGTCGAACACCCTCTCAATGAGTAGTGGCTGATATTTCTGATATTTCCCTTTCCAAAATTGGAACAAGGGACCCATCAACAACCAACACCTTATCCCTAACAACCAACTTATTGCTCATAAAACTCTCGTGTTCTAGCCACTCTCCTCTTTCTTCCTGCAGCACCTTTTGCTGAAAATCCATGTTAATGGCCCACACCTTCGCTAATCTGAATGGCAATTTTAGCCCAATAACCAAATCAATTTGAAGGACTAATGGCCAATGATCATAAGACGCATCGGGGTTTAATCTCCTAAAAAGTATTTGGCAAATGCTCTTCTCAAGCTGTAGATAACAAAAACCTATCCAGTTTGCAACTAATTACATTCGCCTGCATGTTGGAACATGTAAACTTCCCATTATGGACAGGGATGTCTGTCAATCTGTGTCTGGCAATGAACCTCGAAAAATCCTTCTTGCTTCTAGCCAGTCTCCTCCCATTTGGGTTCTCATGTCTAAATCTAGTAATACTGAAGTTCTTTTTTTATATCTTTTGAAGGGCTACACAAAGGGGGGAAGCCCATCCACCAACTCAGGTGCAGGTGAGATTTGATCCTGTTATAATTCAGGTCTGCCTTAGAGTTCGGCCTGACTGAGTTCAGTTATGTAGAAGAAGAAAAAGTGATAAAGAAAGAGAGAAAGAGAGAAGAGAGAATT